AGGCGTGCAGGCCAAACAGAACATTTGCCTCAATTTTGCACAGAATCCATAGTCGTGGTGGACACGATATCACAAAAATTAAGTGACGCATTGAAATCAATTTTGGCAAGTTTATTGGTTATGAAAAGTAGACAAAAATGACAGAGGATTGAGACAAAACATTATTTTTATCTCCCTAAACAGTGTCTTGTGTCGAGACGATGAAAAACTGGGCAGTAGGCTGGAGGCGTGCAGGCCAAGCAGAACATTTGCCTCACTCTTGCACAGAAACAATAGTCCTGGTAGACATGATATCTCAAAAATTAAGTGACGCATTGAAACCAATTTTGGCCATATCATTGGTTAGGAAAAGTAGACAAAAAAGACAGAAGATTTAGACAAACTATTATTTTTCTCTCTCTAAATAGTGTCTTTTGTCAAGACGATGAAAAACTGGGCAGTAGGCAACAGTCGTGGAGGCCAAACAGAACATTTGCCTTACTTTGCACAGAAACCATAGTCCTGGTGGAAACGATATTTCAAAAATTAAGTGACGCATTGAAATCAATTTTGGCCAGATTATTGGTTAGGAAAATTAAACAAAAAGGACAGAAGATTGAGACAAAATATTATTTTTCTCTTCCAAAACAGTGTCTTGTGTCAAGACGATGAAAAACTGGGCAGTAGGCTGGAGTCGTGCAGGCCAAACAGAACATTTGCCTCACTTTTGCACAGGAACCATACTCCTGGTAGACACAATATCTCAAAAATTAAGTGACGCATTGAAATCAATTTTGGCCAGATGATTGGTTATGATAAGTAGACAAAAAAAGACACAAAATTGAGACAAAATAAAAATTTTCTCTTAATGAACAGTGTCTTGTGTCAAGACGATGAAAAACTGGGCAGTAGGCTGGAGTCGTGCAGGCCAAACAGAACATTTGCCTCACTTTTGCACAGAATCCATAGTCCTGGTGGACACGATATCTCAAAAATTAAGTGACGCATTGAAACCAATTTTGGCCATATCATTGGTTAGGAAAAGTAGACAAAAAAGACAGAGGATAGAGACAAAACATTATTTTTCTCTCCCTAAACAGTGTCTTGTGTCAAGACGTTGAAAAACTGGGCAGTAGGCAGCAGGCGTGCAGGCCAAACAGAACATTTGCCTCACCTTTGCACAGAAACAATAGTCCTGGTAGACATGATATCTCAAAAATTAAGTGACGCATTGAAACCAATTTTGGCCATATCATTGGTTAGGAAAAGTAGACAAAAAAGACAGAAGATTTAGACAAAACACTATTTTTCTCTCTCTAAACAGTGTCTTGTATCAAGACGATGAAAAACTGGGCAGTAGGCAGCAGTCGTGGAGGCCAAACAGAACATTTGCCTTACTTTCGCACAGAAACCATAGTCCTGGTGGAAACGATATCTCAAAAATTAAGTGACGCATTGAAATCAATTTGGGCCAGATTATTGGTTAGGAAAATTAAACAAAAAGGACAGAAGATTGAGACAAAATATTATTTTTCTCTTCCAAAACAGTGTCTTGTGTCAAGACCATGAAAAACTGGGCAGTAGGCTGGAGTCGTGCAGGCCAAACAGAACATTTGTCTTGCTTTTGCACAGAATCCATAGTCCTGGTGGACACAATATCTCAAAAATTAAGTGACGCATTGAAATTAATTTTGGCCAGAGGATTGGTTATGAAAAGTAGACAAAAAAGACAGAAGATTGAGACAAAATATTATTTTTCTCTCTCTAAATAGTGTCTTGTGTCAAGACGATGAAAAGTGGGCAGTAGGCAGCAGGCGTGCAGGCCAAACAGAACATTTGCCTCACTTTTGCACAGAAACCATAGTCCTGGTGGACACGATATCTCAAAAATTAAGTGACGCATTGAAAGCAATTTTGGCCAGATTATTGGTTTGGAAAAGTAAACAAAAAAGACAGAAGATTGAGACAAAATATTATTTTTCTCTCCCAAAACAGTGTCTTGTGTCAAGACCATGAAAAACTGGGCAGTAGGCTGGAGTCGTGCAGTCCAAACAGAACATTTGTCTCGCTTTTGCACAGGAACCATTGTCCTGGTGGACACAATATCTCAAAAATTAAGTGATGCATTGAAATCAATTTTGGCCAGATGATTGGTTATGATAAGTAGACAAAAAAGACCCACGATTGAGACAAAATATAATTTTTCTCTTAATAAACAGTGTCTTGGGTCAAGACGATGAAAAACTGGGCAGTAAGCAGCAGGCGTGCAGGCCAAACAGAACATTTGCCTCACTTTTGCACAGAATCCATAGTCCTGGTGGACACGATATCTCAAAAATTAAGTGACGCATTGATATTTGTGGCCAGAGGATTGGTTATGAAAAGTAGACAAAAAAGACAGAAGATTGAGACAAAATATTTTTTTTCTCTCTCTAAATAGTGTCTTGTGTCAAGACGTTGAAAAACTGGGCAGTAGGCTGGAGTCGTGCAGGCCAAACAGAACATTTGCCTTACTTTTGCACAGAAACCATAGTCTTGGTGGACACGATATCTCAAAAATTAAGTGACGCATTGAAATCAATTTTGGCCAGATTATTGGTCAGGAAAAGTAAACAAAAAGGACAGAAGATTGAGACAAAATATTTTTTTTCTCTCCCAAAACAGTGTCTTGTGTCAAGACCATGAAAAACTGGGCAGTAGGCTGGAGTCGTGCAGGCCAAACAGAACATTTGTCTCGCTTTTGCACAGGAACCATAGTCCTGGTAGACACAATATCTCAAAAATTAAGTGATGCATTGAAATCAATTTTGGCCAGATGATTGGTTATGATAAGTAGACAAAAAAGACACAAGATTGAGACAAAATATAATTTTTTCTTTTAATAAACAGTGTCTTGTGTCAAGACGATGAAAAACTGGGCAGTAGGCAGCAGGCGTGCAGGCCAAACAGAACATTTGCCTCACTTTTGCACAGAATCCATAGTCCTGGTGGACACGATATCTCAAAAATTATAAGTGACGCATTGATATTTGTGGCCAGAGGATTGGTTATGAAAAGTAGACAAAAAAGACAGAAGATTGAGACAAAATATTATTTTTCTCTCTCTAATTAGGGTCTTGTGTCAAGACGTTGAAAAACTGGGCAGTAGGCTGGAGTCGTGCAGGCCAAACAGAACATTTGCCTTACTTTTGCACAGAAACCATAGTCCTGGTAGACACGATATCTCAAAAATTAAGTGATGCATTGAAATCAATTTTGGCCATATTATTGGTTATGAAAAGTAGACAAAAAAGACAGAAGATTTAGACAAAATATTATTTTTCTCTATCTAAACAGTTTTTGTGTCAAGACGATGAAAAACTGGGCAGTAGGCTGGAGCCGTGCAGGCCAAACAGAACATTTGCCTCACTTTTGCACAGAACCATAGTCCTGGTGGACACGATATCTCAAAATTTAAGTGACGCATTGAAATCAACTTTGGCCAGATGATTGGTTATGAAAAGTAGACAAAAAAGACAGAGGATTGAGACAAAACATTATTTTTCTCTCCCTAAACAGTGTCTTGTGTCAAGACGATGAAAAACTGGGCAGTAGGCAGCAGGCGTGCAGGCCAAACAGAACATTTGCCTCACTCTTGCACAGAAACAATAGTCCTGGTAGACACGATATCTCAAAAACTAAGTGACGCATTGAAACCAATTTTGGCCATATCATTGGTTAGGAAAAGTAAACAAAAAAGACAGAGGATTGAGACAAAACATTATTTTTCTCTCCCTAAACAGTGTCTTGTGTCAAGACGATGAAAAACTGGGCAGTAGGCTGGAGCCGTGCAGGTCAAACAGAACATTTGCCTCACTTTTGCACAGAACCATAGTCCTACTGGACACGATATCTCAAAAATTAAGTGACGCATTGAAATCAACTTTGGCCATATCATTGGTTAGGAAAAGTAGACAAAAAAGACAGAAGATTTAGACAAAATATTATTTTTATTGGAAAAGGGCACTCGTGAAAAAAAGCAATCGCTTTCTGATTCCTATAATCGAATGCAAATGTGGAAAATCCCCTCAAATGTTTGATGAAACATGCATCTGGACTTTTTGGTATTGCTCAACTGAAAAGGAAGTCATCGTCGCATGCACCCTTTCAAAATTTGAGGTCCGTATTTGAATTGTGAAGTAGTTCATCATCAGAAGGTAATGTAGGTAACATCTTTCGACCAGCATAATGGCTTTCAAATTATGGATCGTTCGCCATCCTTTAAGTGTGATTCACATTAGGTATGCTGGGGTCGTCTGGCAAAGCTGGCTTCAAATTACCAAAGATATATAAGCACGCAATTATTTCATGTGCATCTTTAAATTTATTTCATAACAAACAAGAGATGTTTATTTCATGAACGTGATAAAAGGTATAACTTGGAACTGAAAGGAGCTGAAAAACTTGAAAGCATCTTAAATTCATAAGGCTGCTAAGGAAAAAATTGAAGAGTACAGGAAACATTTCTCATTTAAAATGACTAGTGAAAAAGTCAATTGACTAGTCCACAGTGGATTTTGCTTCCTACTAAGCACATATCCTTGGCTAACTAATTTCCTCTACTAAGAAGCTCTGTGACATTGGGTCCTATTCGAATATATTTATTTGAAGGATCGGGAGGGCCTTACTTAACTGGACAATTTCGGTAAGGTGCTGTTTAAAAAACGAACGCATTATTTTAACAACATCTATACAATTATTTTATATTTTAACAGCACTTATTTAAAACACTTACAATAGTACATTGAAATCTCCAGTACAATGTTCTGTTGACGTAAAATTATTGCAGATGGTATTTGTTATTTTAATAAAAGCCATCTAAACTAACTCCACTGAATTTTTAGTTTACAATAATTTCTTAGTTAAAGCATAACATTTAACGGCGCTTTTTTACAATTCTTTCAACTAACAATGTGAAAGAAATGAAACATTATGTACGTCCATTAATGCTCACATGTGCTGAAATTTTGCAATTAGCTGAACTAATTACGACATCCAAGCAACTCCAATCGCAGAGCAACAGCAATGAACCATTCAGTAGGCTCGATGCGCACTACCTTCGCCACCACACTCTCATCAAACAGGTTAGTGACCGGGGTGTTGGCATCAGTGTTACCCATGAACACCTGAAACGAAAAGGGGGTCGAAAAAGCTACCCGTCAGTTGATACTCACACATCTAGAATGCTTGCCTGTGTGAATTCAAACCAACAATTTAGGCTATATATAGTGACTAATGTTTAGCTTCTTTTATAAAATATATTCCTATGTAATGTGACACAATTCATTTACAACCAAGCCTTCCTGAAAGGTATTTAATAGACCGAGCGAGCATATACTGTGAACGTCCAGTTTAACATTCAACACTGGGAATTGACCGATTTTTTTTATTGTCAGATTTTAAAGCTATAGAATTACCTTTGCATAAAAAATAATAAGCAGAATGATGAACAGCAAAAAATGCAAATGCAAAATCATCAAAACAAGACAGAAGAATACCACTTCTTAATTCAAAATGAACTCAATAAAAAACAAAACAAGTGTCAGTTGTGATATAATTACCGTGATATTTCCGTTTCCACCTGTCACGTACTCGTAGTCAGGTGAGGGATGCTTCTTATACGCCACCTTGTAACTCTTCACATACCTAGGGCTGGCTGTGCCGGGCGGCTGCGTGCCTTGTGTGATGACGCCAGACACCACTAGCACTACACTCTCAACGAAGTTCACCTCGATCCGGGCATTGGAGGAGCTATGTACACGGAGTTGAGGAGGTCAAGAAATAATAAAGTGACAATTCCTCTGTAAGAGAGGCTCAGTGACGTATTTAGCAGGTTGGGAAGAGGTTGGGGAGGGCCCCGGCGACATTCTGTTCCCCGTCCTCTATAGAACTTTCAAATACGTCTGGCGTCTCCCATAAATTTGCCTTCCCCGACCACAAACCTAGCCGCGCTAATGGACACCTTTCCAATTGTGAATCTGTGATTTGAGATAAACATTCCCGAACCCTGCATTTTGGCGCAATGTTTAAACACAAATCCTAACGCGGGATTTCGTCAAAGTAAGCCCCGGTCAGCTATTGTCGTTCAATATGTACATCGGTATATGCATTTGCCATTACTTGCTGGAAGGATCTACGTTTATCTTGGGCAGGGTTTGGTATCAGGTTTGGCATTGTTTATACGGATACGAACCTTGTAGCTATCCATGCACCGTTGTTGTTCAGGCGGCCCTGCCGGGCAGACCAACCCCCGGCACTCATCGATGATCGGATTTGATTGTCAGTGATGGATCTGTCTTCAAGACCTAAGGCCTTCGGTGTCAAACACCCGCCATCTGTCGGTATAAGTAAAACGTCCATTTTTATTGTGATTTACTCACTGACATTATGGCTCAAATAAAAAAAAAAAAGAGGACAAGAACTCGCCGAAATTATCATGTGTTTTGGAAAAGTTGAAAATCAACACTGGCCCTTCCCAGGTACGGATCTCTGAAAGCAAATATAAATTACCAACAAAGTAGGTTTTTTTAGGGGTAGAGGTTTGTTATTGCATTATTCAAAAAGTAGTTTAGCTTCCTTTAGGCGGAATTCCTTCTCGAGCAAGAATTCGATTCATCATTAAAAAAAACATCTTTCCAAAAGAAAATTAAGTGATTGCCTTATTGTCGAAGTCGTATCCATTGTAGGCATAGATTATAGTATTAATAGAAATGTGAACAAATTAATGGTGTTTTGAAGGGAAAAAAAATCAAACCGCCCGTATGTCACCCGCGCGCAACAACATAGATCAAGTATTATTGTAACCAACACTTTGTCAAATCTTCGAATTTGGTCAACTGTTACCAGCTGGGGTAGATTCCTTCGTTCCCGGGCAACGCTCCCGTATCTCTCGCATGACTTGCTTCATCCAGTGATCCGGATTATCAGGATCAGGTTCCGGTGGGGGACCGAAGTAACATGTCCTCGCCTTGCTCTCCACAGAGACAAAGAGCGCTTTGGATTCAGAGAAAACGAAATATTAACTGATTTATTTAACCTGTTTATAGCCAGTTAGTTGACATGTTAGGGATAAACTAAAGTTTTGCTGAAATCTATTTTGTTTACGGGTTAAAGTTTTTAAACCCCAGTCAGAGCCACGAGGACTAACGAATTTCTTTGATTATTTTCCTAATAAGCCGTAATGAAATATTTTTCGAGACAGCTTAGATTTGTTTTTCATTTTTATGTTAAAATATGTTTTTACACGAACAAGTGTTTCTCATTTTGTCCACCTCGGAATCATAATACAACAATTAAATAAAAACTGTAAGATCCAAAGACGATGAAAATTCCTTTGCACGGACCAACCGCGGATTATTATTTATTACTTCGTTTCCACCTGATGTGGGCAGTAATCTCCATCTCGGTATCGATTTTATATTGATAGAAATTGTTATTAGACGCCATTCAAACCTGTCAACAGTCACTCATACTTCGTTTGGATATTGGTGACTGCATCCGGTGGTAGAGATATGAATAACAATTCGTGAGTTAATTTACGTGAGTAAAAACGGCAATTAATGCTTGCGGCACGTCATACAGCATATCAGCAGATATTGCTGTCACGCTCAGGACGAGAAAAGAAAGGGGGTATGAATGACATCTTATTAAGTACCGGTGTAGCGTGAATATCCGACTCCATGAAATGTGGACTCATTGGTAGTACTGCGCACGCGTGAGTACAATACTATGCTATCTTTAGGATCGTTTCGGGAGAGTGACATGTCATGTGTGAGGGATCAACCAATAATAGGGGAATAGGGGTCCGATTTTCATAGGAGTCGGATTTTCATGTGACACCGTCACTCACACGAACCGTGTAATATAGCAAACACGCTTCTGAAACCAACATTGACGTGTTTACTGCTTGCGTCATATGCACATGGCGAGGAATTCTACCAATAGCAATCGTCCACCTCCAACGCGCCAGAACGTACAGCCAATCAGATGTTTTCATACGTGTATACACATGGTATGCCCTTTATACTTGTCTCCAGAATATTTTTTAAAGATCTTTCTTAAACCTGCCCTATATCTATTTTCCTATTATATTTTGCGAATATTAAAAAATAACATATTTTTTTCAGGCAAAGCTATCCGCATAGTAAATTATGCTCTACTGTAAAATTAAGCATGTTTTAGCTCTGTCTTCATTAGAGTTTTGTCGATGAACGTATTGATAGCTGAGGACGGTGGTTTTAGAAGGATTTACATGTCCACAAGTCAGGATTCTACAATTCTACTTCCCTTCAATTGTGACGTATAAAACCATTTATACCAAACAATATTATCACATTCATAAATACCTTTTCGGTAAAATACATTCTTTCCCGTCCAAAAATCAAAACAAGTCAAAAACTAGACATTGCTATTCATTTTGTTCAAAAATTTTACTTCATGTTGTATTAAACACCCCTCTGACTATAATATGAAATGTCCCTCTATAATTCTTTACCTAATAAGGAGATGGGTGCGCGCGTCGCGCATACTGCGCAATGTCGCGCAAAACGCAGCTGGGTGAGTGTAGAGAGAATTTCGGAATTTGAAATTCTGATTCACTGATAGTAGGCCTATTGCGTATGCCTACGTGAGGAATATGAAGTTCAACCAATGAAATGTTAAATGGTACAAGATTTCGGGGAGACCGAATTTCATTTGACACTGGAAAAGTGTTTAAGACCAGCCAGCCATGTCTTTATCATCCGTTTAGGGCCGGCCACCTGACGGGCTCTCGTTCAGTAGGAATGGGTAAACTGTATTAGGTATTTATGAATCACAAGTAAAGCCCAAATTATATTTTCCAGCTTGAAAACAGACCAGACGTACTACAGCTGTCGTAAGCTAAGTATGCAATTTTGACTATAGTTTTACAGTCAAATCTAAATAGTTGGTGTTTTTCCCCATCAGACTAAACGAAATGCCGAATGCTAAAGGGTATCTCTCTAAATTACAAATAGTAACACTAGGGACTAGATGTTTTAGTGAGAAAATTACCTTCGTTTTTGATTGAAATGGCTTGAAAAAAAACCCCACTTCAGTCGAAGCTCGAGTGAAAGTCCATCTTTTCGATTGAAGGAATTTCACTCAAAACATTTAGTCCCATAGTTTCCGAATTTTGAGTTGAATTTTCTCTCGAATGGAGTGAATGTTCACGCAATGGTATCCAGAGAGTATGCACATCTTATCTGGCATGTATGTGATTGGTGTGCACGGCTTACCTGTGAGTGCTGATGCCACCAGCAGACAACGCACCGCTCCGTCCATTCTACCTGATGCAAGTGATAAGGATCGTGTGCTGCGAGCGCCCGGATCGCTTATGTCGAAAAACTATACGTAGACAATAAGAGAGTCTGACGTCACTATGAATGAGCCGTTGATCCAATCAAAACGTATAACATCTGTTGCAAATTCTTAATCAGCTTCTCTTGGTGTAACTGTTAATTTCGACTCCTTATTTTGTTCTATTTAATACCATGTGGATGGTCATAAATTAAACACTTTAAAAAACAACCAAAGAAATCAAGATCGGAAACAGAGTATGCATTTTCACGCACACACCCTCACGTCTAATCTTGAAGAAGTGTTGGAATAATTATTTAGGCAATTTTTGTTTTATATTTTTGGATTTTAAAGAGTCCTCTGTTGCTATTCCTGATGTCGACACCCCGGCCACTAACATGTTTGATGAGGGTAAGGCGGCGACGGTAGTGCGCATTGAGCCTACTGGGTGGTATAATGGTATTGGTCTGCGACTAGAGTTGTTTGGGTGTCGTCATACTTAGTTCAGATGAGTACAATACGTTTTAGTGCAAATAATCTATTACTCATAGTATTTTCACAGAACAATGAATTGTATTATGGTAGTGAAAATTATTCTGATGGAGTATCACCATGTAAGAAAACAATGTTCAGTGGGTCTGATTTAATAAGCCATTTCGGTTTTCCAACTGCGCATGTGTACATCAAGATTTGAATCTCTCCTTTCGATATAAACCATGAATGTGCCGTATGCGTGCAAAGTCACAGCGGGTACCATCACAATTTAAAAAAATTGCCTTCATCTACAGTAAGCACAACATTTGAAGAGAAAAAAAATTGACAGAGATTTGTGCGAATGAAATTTCAATAGTATTTTTAATTGCATGAAAGCTTGCAGAACGGAGCGTGGGTAATACCATAAGCAGACGAAGGTAATACTCAAGATAATATCGTAATTTCCTATTTTAACGCAATGCACACTCGCTCATCTAATTCGAGTTCCAGTTCAACTTGTAGTAAGATGGAGCAAATCAAGCGACACGAAACAAAAGGTATACAGTTATTGCTCATGGTATTTTATTCAAGAAGTACATAACTTATCACGATTAAAAAAAAAAGGAAAAGGACATTGGATTTCCATTGATGGGATCACGATTGCGGTCTTTTCCCTCCCCGCAGTGGGAAATGTGTATTTAATTTAGATTGCCTAACCTATCGATATTGGGAAATACAATATTATACATATCAGGTTTCCAAGTGGTCAAAGATAAATCAGTTTATTGAGTACCAAAGTGTGATGTCAGTTGTATTAGTTCTGTTTCACGCGTTGGTTCACGCGCTGATGTCTTCACACCCTGATAATAATTGATATAGGCTATGCGCGTGAACCTATGTGCAGTACATTTCGGTACTCTCTTGCGTATGTGTGGGAAAAGTACCTGGATGAATAGATTGACGAAATATACTATTGTATTGTATCCTATATCGTATTATGACAAGACAAATTTGAATGGGGCATGTGACACCAAATTTGCCGATATACTATCTGTACCGAGGCGTAGGGGTGCACACCATCTAATTCTTGTGCTCTGCATAGTGTTGGAGCAGAGCCGTATTAAGAGAGAGTTGTGACAACTTCAGACTGTTGAACCATAATGGTCTTTCATTATGTGTACAGTACAGCGTGTGACTATTGTGTGCGAATTTATTATGTGCATTGATGCATAATCCGCCATTTTGTTTCCAAACAGTGCGACCCTCATGTCGCAACTCTCTCTATATATGGCTGTGTGCTGAAGTTTGGACACTATCCGGCAAAAGGTGGCGCTATTCGTTGTGGCATATTTACCGCGCCTACGGTTGCAGGCCAGTAAATCGGTCCAAAATCGCCTACGCCAGCCAAATCACGATTTGTTTGCCCTCGAAATCTTCGTTATTTGAACATATTGTGGGCCATAAAGTTGAGGGTTTGTAAAAAATATGGGTGGAAGCCAGGCACAGGACTGTGAGATTGTAGATTTGTGCTATTTGGATGAAATTGGAGCACTAAAAGCGCTCTATTTTGCAATAGAGTGAAGGTGTCGTTTTCAAAATGGCGATGGGCGTCAGGACCATTTAAGGGGTGATCATCTTCGGATGGAAATTTTTCCGAAAAGTCATCAGTTAACCCCCACAAATTGAAAAGAAAATGAAAGATGATGAAATTAGCCTCAATTTGATGTGTGTCTCGAACACCTTGGAGAGTTGTTAGTAATTTTCATGATTTTTTTGAAGTGGGGGCATTTATCATTGGAGTCTATATATGACAGTTTATTTACTAGTCTGCAATTCTACAGACCCACGATTTTGCCAAAAGGACGACGTTGACGTGCCATATCCCACACCCCGTATAGCGACGCCCATGTTGCAAATAATTCATAAACGTTATTAAACATTCTATGGATAATAACCTATTTTGAATACACTAAATAAATGTAAGTAAATGTAAAAGGAAACAGCACACTATACGTAATACATAATCATACATTTTTGATATCGTCAATATACAGGCATTATAACAAACTTAAATAACACTCTTCTATTTCAAAACAGTTCAGCCACAAATTACCCAAAACCACATACATGTACGTTACTGCGTGTACGTTATTCAATTTTGTATTCGTGAGGTGATTTTTTTTCTGTCGGTTATGCATTACGGTTTTGGGATCTGGACCCCATTTCATGGCTGTACTTACCACATAATTCCGCGCTTACGATCGCCATTTTGTGGTAACCGCGCTAGCAAACAACAATGTGCTAACCCTGTATCAGAATCTGGAATGTATCCAAGCGCAAAAGCCAAACTTCCTGGCTACGCTTACCTTAAGCATGAAATTTTGTGCTACAGTAAGCACGGATTATTCGCTAACGGTAGGCAAAGCCATTAAATTGGGCCCTGATCGATCTCCATAAGATTTTCGAAAAACTCGCTCGGTCAAGGAACGGGTTTAAACACGATTTTTTGTGAAGAACAATTTAATAATTTTACAACATTGTAACTAGTGCATTTACACCCGGGAGAGCTTTTAATTAATAATACAAACACAGCCAAACCTACGCGAAGCATCCAAGTATTATTTTGTATTTTCATCCATTTTGTTTGGGGTCACAAACACTGATTTTACAAATGTGATCTCACACAATGACTAGTTCTAAATATTCGGTTCACTTTCAGCTATTAGCAATAAATCGTCATACCAAATCAAATGACGTTAGCATCCTGATCACCAATCGCATTTATCGCTTCATATTTTGATTGGTCTTCCTTTGGTGTGGGAAAAGAAACACTATTGATCAAACTCAATTGCAAAGGCTGAATTAATCGCGGCGACATCCAAGCAACTCGAATCGCAGAGCAACACCAAAATGATAGGTAATGGGCTTAATGCGCACTACCGTCGCCACCACACTCTCATCAAACAGGTTAGTGACAGGGGTGTGGTCATCAGTGTTACCCGTGAACACCTGAAACGACAATCGAATACCAACACCGTTTGCGAAATGAACTGAAAAAAAACCCCATGTTCTAAAAGTAACAAATGATACGGTCTTCGAAACAAGTTGAACGAATTGCATGTCTTTGGGTATAGTCTATGACGTCTTTTGGTCAGATCTACGACGAGAGTTGTTCTGTGCTGCCTGGACAATATTACAATGGAGTTCAACATGTTCCAAAACGTTAACAAACGTTCTTGTTTGTCTTTCCTATAAACCGGAAAGAACAAGGAACGAGAACGGGTTGGACAGAATGTACGTGACATGAATCCAACGGCCAGATAAATCGGGAAAATTTCACAAGACGTTTAAAACTGTTTGAAGAAGCTTGTTAGCATTGTGATATTTTACCTTAATGTTTCCGCTTTCGTCAGTTACGTGTCTGTAGCCTGATGAGGGCTGCTTTTGATAGTCCACCTTGTACGATGTCACATAATCATCGAAGATGCCTCCTTGGGTGATAACACCCGACACCACTGTGCTCTCAACGAGGTTTACCTCGATCCAGTCAATGCTAGAGCTATGTACACAGACAAAAATGAGGAGTAATTGAAATGACACAAATTTGCAAGCAAACTCGCAGGAGAATTCTGGAATACGAAGAAAAACAATGGGATAGAGTAATAGTTGTATACCTACATTCCTCATTATATCATGGTAAAAGGGGGGACTTTGAATGTAAAGGTTCCTCTGAATTTTGTTTTTTTGTTGTGGCATCAGCGGAACTCAATCTGCGTCTAGCAATCAAGTACAAAATAGTCCAAAATATCTTATTTAATGAAGATAAATAAAATAACTTGGCTAGGCTACTTTGAACACGGAAGTTGATGGTCCCGGATTTGGTTTGTAAGTATTTTTTTTAAAATCTCGCGGCAAAGGAAAGACCAGTAGCATAGACGTATCGACTCTGTGCTGGAAGGAGAGAGGTCGCGTTTATATAGACCGTGTTTAAATGGACCTATCGCCGATTGCGAGTTGTCCACGCCCCTTACAAACCTACTTATTTGGAACGTCAAGTTTTGTTCGTCTCAGATTTTGCGCGCTCCGCGTCCATTTTGTGTATCGCGTAATTAATATTTCACAAGCTGCATGCTTTGACGCGAGTAATAGGTAAAGTTCTTGGCTACAACTGAAATTACTCACGCGCTTAGCGGCTGCAGCCGCTTCCCATAGACTCGGCCGTTCAAGGCGTAGGAAAGTAATTCGGACGCAGCTATACTAAGCATGGACGTCCCATGGAAAGAAAACTATTCGATGGTGAATTTCCGGTGAAGTAAATAAAATAAGAAAAAAAACCAGAACTCGTGAAAATGTTGTGGGGTAAATTACCTTTCGCCTATGTTTTAGGCCGTTTACTACGTTATAAGTTTTACGGCATCTTTAATGGCAAAAACATGAAGCGTTAGCTATTGTTCAAATCAAGTTTCTCTATTGACTACCTCGTCAGAAGAGAAGAGTCTCCACATGTCTTTGACATCTACGAATAAGCATGCCAGCAGAGAGGGCGCCCTCTGTCGATCATTCTGGTACCCCAATGGTGCATCCTACCCCCTAAAGAGTATTGCTCCCCTTGTACCATTACATGTAGTGACGAGTGTATCAGAATAAGCCTCTGTACTAATGACGTCACACTTTGTTTACATATGCATTTTCCTATGGAGCCAGCGGGGGTCCACGGTCCACTGAGCACCATAGGAAAGCACACACGTAACTAAAGCATTACGTCATTAGTACAGATCGAGGCTTACTTCAGCCCGAAATACCAGGTTGAGGTATTCCCTTTCATACGTACTCCGAGCCTGCGGCTACCCATGCGTAACCATCATCGTTGAGTCGTGCATTAGTAGCAAGGCAGCAAGATGATCTACTGCTGGACGCTCTGATGCGATTATCAGGGATTGTGCCGTCCTCCATACCGAGGGCTCCTGGAGTTGAACATTCAGCTGTAGTTGCAAATAAAAACAGAATATAATAATAATATTGCCCAAAATTCCAAATTCCTATTCACAATCAGTTTTATAATTATTACTAAGTCTTGTATATTACTTTTAAGTAATATTTTTTAATATTACTTGTATTACTTGTACGCAATATTTTTCTTTCTTTCTTTATATATTTTGTATTTATTAAAACAAATCGGCGGGGGGGGGGGGGGGAGGAGGGGAATCCAGTTGATTCTGCTAACTGGGTAAATGTATAAAGACGGAGGAAGTTTGAAAACAAATATTTTGGTTTGGAGTTGGTAAGTAGCCTAGACCCAGACACTAAAAAATAAACAGTCTTTTACAAACTATCGATTAATATATCTCTCAAAGTGTCTTTTGAGAGAGAGAGAGAAAACGCACAGCGATTGCACAGACTGAACCCCGAATGCACAGATTGATTCAAAGGCATTGGTGCTATAACGTTGCAAAGAATGGACTTTTTCAGATAAGCTTGGCACCCTCTGGCGACACGGTGAGCAGCAATGCTGATGCCACTGTTAGCAATACAGAGAGAATGCAATGGGATATTGTGCTTCCTCCAGACTTGCAAAAACAATTACTACAGGGTGAGCAAAAAAAGCTAAACCTAAAATGTCGGGACTATTGTTTTAGTGAAGTTGTGCATGTACAACTTTGAAAATCTAGGATATAAAAGCCAAATTCATAGGCTTTCTTTTAGTACAAGATTTATTCAAATCACTTTTTAACTTTTCAAGTTACGGAATTTTAAACACAACCACCGTTTTAAAGTTCTGTCCACGAATAAAAAAAAAAAGGTGTGCGTTCTTTCAGCTAAAAGCGAAAACAATTCACACACTGAAAGAACACCTACCTCCTTGTGTTCCGTGGACAGAACTTTAAAACAATTGTTGTGTTTAAAATTCCGTAACTTAAAAAGTACATAAGTGATTTTAGTGGTTCTTGTACAAAAAGAAAGCCTATGAATGGGGCATTTATATCCTAGATTTTCAAAGTGCTACTAGCAGAACTTCACTAAAATAGTAGTCCCGACATTTGGTTATCGCTTTTTTGGACTTTCATCATCTGTTATTTTCTGTTCCATTTCGTATTGTTCGGAGTCAACCAATGACTTTTGGTAGAAAATTCCATCCAAAGATTTAACCCCTAATAGTCCTGATTCCCATCGCTATTTTGAAAAGAATGCCTACACTCCTGTGGAAAATAGAGCAGTTCTAAGGCATGTCATCCCAATTTCCAAGAAACACGATTTTGCAACCGTCAAGATCGTGGCCCTAAAAATGCTCTAATACCGGAGAATATGAGGGTATGGAAATCGTGATTTGGCCGGCGCAGCAATTTCGGGCCTACTTGCTGGCCTGGACCAATATGCGCACAGCAAAATATGTGCATTAAATTTCCATACAGAGGGTCAATGACAGCTCGGCTAGATCTTTTACTGTTTAAATTCAATGAAACAATGACATTATCCATTTTGGAATATTTGCAGAGGAAACCAGACAAAATATTACCAATCATTATTTCAGAAAAACAATCTTCATTTTTCGAAACTGAAAATCTGACTGTAAAAATAATGTTTCAATCCTAAGAAAACAAAACTAAAAATCTCATGTGCAATCACTGCTTCTCATTCAGCACAATACCTTCAAAAGGTAATCAGAGAACAGCTGCTGTAACAACGGATTTTTTTAATGCAAAATAAGCATAATTTCTTAATGCAAAGATAAAATAATATCGAATTTGTTTTTCGCTGTTATGCGATTTTTAATTGCTTTTTTTAAGAGAGAAAAGGAATAAATCCAGGTAACTTTCTTTTTGGGTTCTCTCGTACCGTTTTCGGCAGGTTTCGCCGTACCGGCTGGGGTAGGTTTCCCCGTTCCAGCTGTGGTAGGTTTCTCCGTACCAGCTGGGGTAGGTTTCTCCGTACCAGCTGTGGTAGGTTTCTCCGTACCAGCTGTGGTAGGTTTCTCCGTATCAGCTGAGGTAGGTTTCGCCGTACCAGCTGGGGTAAGTTTACCCATATCGGCTGTGCCAGGTTTCTCCGTGCTAGCTTTGGTAGGTTTCCCCGTATCAGCTGAAATAGGTTGCCTCTTTACCGGTCCCGGGCAACGCTCCCGTATCTTCTCCATGACTTGCTTCATCCAGTGATCCGGATGATCAGGATCAAGTTCCGGTGGGGGACCGAAGTAACACACCCTCGCCTTGCTCGACACACCAGCCAAGAGCACTTTGGATAAAAAAAAATAATACTGTGAATTGAAGATTGCTCTCTGAAACATCGAACCTTACATTTGAAACAAGGCAATCAAGGGCGGATGGAGAAAGAACCAAACTCTCAGGGGACGTGGTGTGGATTTAGGGCCAGCCTGCCATTGTACATTCAAAAAAGGCGGGGGGGGGGTCTGGAGGTACCCACCTAACGCGAGGCTTTCCTACTTCTATCTCTGTTTATATTGCACAAGTTCATGGAGGAAAGGGGATGAGTAGAATCAATTTTGATTGGTCGTCTTCACTCGTCTTCTGAATCGATTACTTAAAAAAATTGACACTTGTGGGGGGGGGGGGGGGCATGGCATGTGCTGCCCTGGATCTGCTTTTGTTAAAAATGAATAGCCAATAAGGTTATCATGACATGCCAAATTTTGTGGTTTTTTTCACTTAAACTTACCATTTACAGAAATGAGATCTCACCACACTTTTCATAATTTATAAAAGTAAAAAGCAGCGAAGACACGCGAAGCTATTAGCAACATTCAGAAATGATTGCGACCGAGTTGAAATCGAGCATTATTTTGAGAAAAATTAAACATCTTTTAAGTCCCACTACACCATTGGCTCTGAAAAACAAGACAGATACTGCAATCCTCAGCAGCTCTTTGCAGACTTATCCAGTGGTTTTCAGTCATCCATAGGCGACATCATAATTCGAAAACGTTTGAAACCAATTCCGAACACATGATCGCTGCCCATTATTTTGACATGAGCCCTTCAATGGCGAAGGCGCTGTGCTTTAGCTATTGTACAGAGTAAAGATTCCATGACGGATTATCAGAACAATAGCCAGCATAGCCTTGGTCAATGCTCTCGTCGTTATTCGTCCCGTACACGGTCAATCGTCGGCATATATCCTCACGCGCTATGCACATGCATGTAAAAATACAGCGCGAACAGCGACCTCATGCGGCCACTATTTGTTTATGCAAATCAGTTGAGGACGATCTCGAGCCTTGGTTCAGTCGTCGGCAAAAGCTTATGTTTTTCTTTATTTTGCGCTGGATTTCTAGCGCACGACCTCGTATGCGAATACAGATAAGTTTAGGCGGGGCTAATATGTGGAGTGTCCAATCACACCTTGGTAAATCCGGACGTCATCAAATTATTTGCAGCTATTCGCCTTTTGCGGACGTGACAGGAACCACAGTTTATGTGCATTAGTGCCATGTGCAGAGACACACAACGTGTACGTGTATGGATTATGTACGGTGCCACGTTTCACTATGCAAGTTTCCACGCAACGATCGACCAATAAGAAAACGACATTTAAGGTCAGCTAAGGCTATTAACATAATGAGCACCACCCCAAAAACCTCACATGGACGATTGAACCAAGGCTCGATCTCGATCGTCCCCAACTGATTTGCATATAAAAATAGTGGCCGCGTGAGGTCGCTGTTCGTGCTGTAATTTTACATGCATGTGCATAGCGCGTGAGGATATATGCCGACGATTGACCGCGTACGGGACGAATAACGACGAGAGCATTGACCAAGGCTATAGCCAGCACAATGCCTTCGCCATCGAATGGGGCCTTTGTGCTAGTGAAAGGGCTAATAAGGATTCAAAGTATCTCAAACTTACCCGTCATTGCTGACAGCATCAGAACCAAAGCTGCAGCTCCGTCCATTCTGCCAGAGTCAGTTAGGTTCTTCTTTGTATTTATCTCCGACTCACACACCACACCAAACCGCGCAGGCAGAAACGCACGAAGCCTGTACGCCAAAAGCCTGAACTTGGAATCAAGCTCCAAACGTTAACTGATGCAATGACTGAGAATATTTACGTGGATCACACACTACCGTGTAATCAAACATCGGCTTACCTAAGACATCACGCAGACACCATCCAAAAGGCTGACGTCATTGGCAGCCAATTAGGAATGAACCTCAACTTGAGTTGAGGGTCGAAACTTTTCAGATTGGTTCAAACTCCAGTATGGGCGGAGGCGCGGAGCTAATACAGGAAGCGGGTGAAACGATCCGACACCCTTTGAGAACTCCCGAGTAATGACGGTTTCTGGGTTAACGAATTTGAAATTGGAATCGCGTGATGATTACCACGGCAGTCGCAAACAGTCAGAAATCGATACGAAACGGCGAGGCATCGCGTGCGATAGAAATCTACATCCGGTAATAAGCATAGAATTCCTCGTGGCAATCAAGGTTTGGTCCCGATTTCGAAACGCCGATAACAACTAGAATCAAAAGGCTCTTTAGAAAACGATCCACAGCGAGTTACTATACGGAGAATTCTTGAAGATATTGCAATTACGGTACTTTGCCCTTGACATTCATAGTGTGCGTACCACACAGCCGCAGGCAATTATATACCTCTTCATGGATTCCATTTGCCGAAGATGACCAAAAAACAAGACCTTCATTCAAAATCTCCCACACCGCTGGCCCGTTTTCTTGGCTGTGTAACTTTGAATCCTCATACATAACTGGTTGCCATGCGTATATACATAATTTTTTTCAGCCGTTATACATATTTTTTGGCCATTGTATTCTTTATGGTCGTGCATGACAAGATAATACGAAAGAACGTGAATAATGAAGTTGAAAGTAATAGTGTGTATTCGGTTCATATATTAAAAACGGCCTTTTCACACGATCTTAAAATCCCCGTTTTGGACCCAGGTCGTATTTTGTATTTTTAACGCTTTTTTTTTTTTTTTATTGTATTGGGACTGAATGCCTGTGGGCAATAGTAGGTTCACTTTTTAAATTCCAGTCATCATGTTCATTGTGTTTTTCTGTTGTGATGGCAAATAAATAATAATAAAAATACTAATAACACGGAGATTTCAGAAACCCCTTTCACACTAGCAAGAATTCAACACGGTTGGGTAAAATCCAACAATGGTCGGAACCAGGGTTGAGAGCCTCTATCCAGACAGAACATCCATAATCTACAGTTGATCCGTGTACACTCTGGTGTAGGCCTAAGTGGTGTGAACAGCCAGCCCTGCCTACCTGTATTCGATGGAACCCGCATCCGATATCAGTACGGGTACGCGAGACAATAGTGTGAAAAAGGCCTGGAGCCCAATACGTTGATGACGGTTGGGCTTACTACTACAAGGGCGGATGCAGAACCAAATTTTCCGGCAAGAGGGCTCGTGTAGTTTGCTTTCAAAACGGGGAGTGGGATTAATATTCGTCAACGGCTCCAGGAATTGACACTCGTATTTTACAGGGGCGTATTTTACACACCTGCGTTATTTTCTTTTTTCAAAAACTGACACTGATCTTAATTTCAACAGTAAAACATGTCAACAGTAATTTTGTGTAAGTCCACAAGTGCACGGTTGGATTAACTTCGTGTCAAACCTTTCAAGGCATTTTTCTCCAAATTGTATCGATGCAAAATGCCTGCGTGTCAGTTCGTGAAAACCAAATTCATTCCATTTCGCGTCAGTGTCCTATGTGCGCGCGCACACCCGGGTGACACTCGTGATTACGCGCTTTTAAACAAACTGACACCCACTTACACGTGAGTGTCAGTTCGTGAAAACGGTGACGAATTATATAGTGTCATGTGCTATTTCCTCATTGTGATATTAAAATTTAAAGGTTAGTGTAGATGATGTCTTGCGACTGAGATACGCAACGATTAAATTCATTTCCTGAAAATGAAGACAAAAAAGGTGTTTTTTGCCTCCAATAAAAAATAAATAAAACGTATCCTGTTCTGTTTGGTTAGACTGCATATACATGTATTTTCAGTGACTTCCAAAGAGGGAAACGGAAACAATTATAGTGGAAAAGGTATGAGAAGCATCAAGCTTATCTGCCCGGTAACAGGAGGTGATGTCAGCAGCGTATCCAGCTTTTGATGTGGGGGGGGGGGGGGGGACCGCACATCCGCGCCGAAAGGTAGACTTGTTTTTTTCTCCAGACACTTGCCCTCCGTAAAATCAAAAAGAGGGGACCCATCTTCCAAATGGGGGCGCTCTTCAAAACTGACCATTATTATGCATACTACATATCATGTGGACATTTTCAAGGAGCATTGTAATGGTTGTTCAGCTGGTTTCAGTTGGTGGGATTGATGTCAGAAGAAGTCTATAAACATTTATTTAAATTTTTGCTGACAAAAAAATCGTCAAAAAAATCCTCCGGGGGGCAAAGTGCCCCCTGCCCCCCCCCCCCCGCATGATACGCCACTGGGTGATGAAATGAAACAGCAGACAGGCAATACTTAAAAGTATCGACAGAAGTTCACTGTTGTGTCGTTTTCAAATAACCAAAAATTCCAGCATCAAGTTTTCTCAGTCTAACAACTGCCACTAATTGCCCGTGCCTCAGTTCAAATTACACATTTTCATAACCGTAGAGGTTCATGCACGAATTGCCGCGTTACAAAAGCTGTTTCTTCAACGCTGGTGGTGTATGCATGGATATTAGAGAATGGAGCAGGCTTTTAATTTCCTTAGTGCGGTGTGTAGCACCGCTGGGCTGATAACCTATTGATTTTTTTTGCAGTTCTAAGACTGCGCTTTAAGTCATTGTTCAATTTTAATATCCGCCGTTTGAGACAAAATATTACTCGCTGGACCAAGAGGCATTGTCGTCCTTATATATTTGTCAAGTCTTTGGTATCTAGGCCAGTAGATTGCAAGTAGAGGTGCTTTGAATATTACAGAAATAGGTGGGGAGAGTTAGTTGTTACGTGCTGCACCGTACCATTATTGATTTTTGAGTTTTATTATATAGATATACGGTCAAGGATATCGTTTATATTTGATGAGGGATTCGTTCACTGGTCTCCATGTAAAAAGCAAAAATATTGTAAAATCATTTGAAGCTGCGCGCTGGTTCCCAATCTTTCCATCGATAAGCTGTACGGAAACCAGTATATAACCTTTCCAATCGTATAATAAACAAGAGATGTCTTGAAGTATAATCAAACACATTTTATTTCAAAGAAACTTAGAATAAAAATATTCTAATGATTTTTTTAATTGAAAAATGTTAATCAATAAATTCAGTCACGGAGCTAAAAAATAGCAAGTTATATTTACAGTATGCCCATAATTATTTTTTAAGAGTGCCAAAGTGTGCTGCGTGTTCTGGTTCACGCGCATAGGTCAAGTGTGTGAAGACATCAGGGCCCAATTTCTTGGCTCTGCTTACCGTTAGCGAAAAAGCTCTGCTTACTGTAGCGGAAAATTATGTGCTTACGGTAAGCGTTTTTCATGGTTTAGCGAGGAATTTTGGCTTCTGCGCACGCGTACATCCCGCAACCAAGGATTCTGTGCTTACAGGGTTAGCACGCATTTTTTTCTGCTAGCGCGGTAAGCACAAAATGCTGAGCGTAAGCGCGGAATTATGTGGTTAGCAGAGCCATGAAATTAGGCCCTGCACGCGAACCATCGCGTAAACCAGAACGAAAGCAACTGACGTCAGACTTCAGTGCTCTTTTCTTAAGAGAGTGGTGATAGGCCTATATGGCAATGTGGTGGATGATGACTTCACTTTGAACAGCCAATGAGGCGATCCAGATTATTTTTACACGGATATCAATGGATTCGTCAGTTAAAAAATGTATTAATGAGTAGTGCAAACCAGGATCACTAAATATCTATACGCAGCACATACAGCATTGAAGTGGACCACGGTTGCCGATAACGTTAGCCTATTTGGTAATCCGCGTAGCTCTGCGGAGGCGAGTTGATATTTGTTTTTGTGTAGGCCTACTCGGTGATACACGATCACTTCACCAACGGATCTTGGATCATTGCATCTGTGACAATGGACGGAGCAGCAGCTTGGATACTGGTGTTATCAGCAGTGACAGGTAGGATCAATTTTATAACAGCTTGCCAAATTGCGTTCAGTGACACAGTAAATAATGATTTCCCCCCCCTCAGCGAGTAAACGCCAACAACAAAATCCCTTGTGTCTGTGGACCGTGAGCCTAAAAAATCTTATTATTTTCAATTTCCTGATATTTGTGTCACTATTTCATTTTTGAAAGCAAAGTTTTATTTTTTAGCATATGTTCTTTTACGAAATGTGCGTGTGTGTGTTGTAAAATCTCATTTGCATTTTAATGCCGATGTTGTTTTCTGTTTACATTGGTGTATTCAAAAAAGTCACAAATATTGATTACTATTAATCAAAAAGGACAAAATCTTTTCTAAGTTAACCTGATGGTAGTGAATTGAGCCGTCCAAACAAATTGTGCCGTCGTAATGGATTATGTGTTAAATGGAAAAGTAGACACAATGAAAGTGTTGGTGCGTAAACTTAGAAGATCGGGTTTCATGATTAAATTAATCATTTTGAATGATTAATTTTATCGCAAGCTCCGTGGTTTGATAACATTTTTACATGGAATAACTTATTTGAAATGACCAAACATCCTTTGCAATTATGATTAATTTACTAATCGGAAAACATTTTGATGTTTCATCTCCTCCACTTTCGACGCAAAGTTCACAGCATCAGCATATTTCTATGTGTGTCATTCAACTTGGAAAAACGGCTTTTGGTCTTTGTTTGAAATAAATGGTTCTCAGCCAATAGTAGTCCGCAGAAAGTAGGGTCTGAAAGCTGACGAACCATCCTTTCAGATTTCACTACCTTGACAGAATTCAAGTGCACATACTAACACATTATA